CTCACCTTCATTCAAATGTTAAATGCGGTAACGTGCAATAAGATTTCGCAACAAGATCTGCAAAATGTCCTTCTGCAGAGGCGTGGGGACAGAAACGACGATGGCGTTATTGTTATGTAACCTGGCACTCAGTGAGTGCCTGAGTTGATGTTCCATTATATCGTTTTTCTGTGTAGTCTGTGGCTTGTCCTGAAGTATGTAGTATAAGGCCAGTGTGATTTGCCCTCGGTCAAGTTCGCAGACTTGGCAAAACTAACTGTGGCGAATTCCAAAGCAATGGAATCTATGGGTAGATATTGGCAAGAATCTAACCAGAGGAATTAGACTGTGCTAAACTGTTATGGTGCTTATAATGCCACCCAAACCTTGTGTTATAGAACGTGTGACAAACACAAAGTGGTGTGTTGTAGGTATTCTGAATAGATAGGTCATGCGCGAGCATTTAAAAGTCGGGCGTATCCAGTAAAAAACATATTAAGTTTTGTTGGGAGTGTGAGCAGATTTGATTTGTTTTTGGAGATTCCGTCCTGTAAGTGAAGTCAATCTATGCTGAAAAGCCGATGGACACCGTACAGCTGTTTCATCCTTATTGGGAATCATCAGCAGTGCGCATCTCACGAAACTCCGAAGAGTCTGGAACCCGCGACCTCCTGGCTAGTAGTTTGAACATTTAACCGTCTGGCCACGAGTGGCTGATTAGCAGTGTGATTAACTCGCACTTAGGCAGGATATAGCACCGCTCATCCTTCAACCACGGGATCCAAATCACGCGGTGACACGTGTTGACTGGCTCCTTGAGCACCGACTTCTCAGATAGAAGTTTCACTCATCGGGTATTCCTCCACTGAGCTACTTATATATTTTTGGTAGCCTGTGGAGATTTGAGATTTTTGTCGCATAAACTTGGTGGTACGGAGTGAATTATATCAAGTGCTAAGATGTAAAAAAAAACTGAGCGATTTGTTCTAATTTCACATGCCAGCACAAAGAGAAATCAATGCTTTCGTGCAACATTTCTGACTGTGCTAAGCTGATGAATTTGGCTTATGTAGTGTTCATGCTTATTTCTAAAATTCACCCAAGACGTTTAACTAGTTGGGTAATGTTGCATGGTTGGAATTGAATAATTCTTCTCTTAAAGCTTCAAATGCGACTCACGGCTTGCGTACGACGGGAAAAATAGCCCGACGTCGTATTGATGTTTGGGATATTTACAATCCACGAAGTTACGATAGGTGCAGCTGTGATGAGTTTGACTGTGTTGAGAAGGCAGATTTTATGTTGAGAAAGGAAGACAGAAGGCAGCAGAAAATGAAAAGTCTCGAACTGTTTTTAGTTTTGACTGTGTTGAAGGGATTTTGACTCTGATAGCACACTGCACATAGCGGACAATAGTATTCATTGTATAAGCATATTTGCAAGCTCACTTTGCAGTGATGTGTTTTTCGAAGCTGCTTCAGACGCGTGCCATCATGGGTTATTCTGGGTTCATTAGAGTAGAATATCATGAGACATAGCAGTGACCTGGTATTGATAGTGTGCCGTAGGCAAGTCAAACTGGACGACAGCGTTGTAAATTGGGTGAAATTTCATCCTGGAAATGATTATTTCCATGCAAACTTAGATGGTTTTACACAAAGCTAATCGTGGAAACCTGTCATTTAAACATTTTATCCAAGGCTGTCCAGATCACAGTGAGTAATATGCATTTGTCTGCACCCTGTGCCTATTCATCGTTTTGGAATTTTCACAATTTAAATTCATAAACAATGGTCCTCCCTTGTTGTCGTCTAAATATTTGTACTCCGTTATTTTTCTATTTAAGGCAACAAACTTCAAGGTGATCTGAAGCTCCTGTTCGAAACGATTAGAGCGTCCTCTACTGTGGGAATTCAACTATTTCGAAGAGCAAAAACACAAAAACTATGCGTATATTGTCTACATTCATTTCATCGAACGATCGGCATGATACTAGACATAATTTCCTCCGTAATTCAATGAGTAAAGGTATTTTAATTATTCCATGTTATTCTAACAGAAAAAGCGCTTTTAGGCATTTATTCAGTAAGATTGCAAGGAGACAACAAAAGCCAGTTTCTAGTTACTTTCTGTGCAAGTTTAATTGTCAGTGGTACACCGCACTTGACGATGAGAATGGCAGCTGGCCCCGAAGAAAATGCCAGCTACGCCTTTCCGTGTTGTCGGCGAGAGATTAGTTGTGATCACCTAGTGTTTTCGGGGACACCTGGGCAATGTTACAAATGTGTCCTGCTCCACAGAGAATCATATTCCCTCCTCAGACTTGCAGAAATATAGAAATATCACATTACATTTTAGAGTTCATCAACGTTTTATCGCAGGACAGTATAATATTTTTTGGTTTTTGGTAAGGCAGTAGAATGGAACTGCACTAGCGAGCGTAATGTCCTGTCAGATATTTTGCCAAAAGACAAAGCAAAGCACTGAAAATCGTTCATTTAATTTGGGAGGCAATTCAGCAAACCATGGCACCGCAAATGAATCTTGGTACTTTTGCGCTTCAACCATGGGTTCGGGGCTACTTACGTCACCTGGTTACCCAGATGTCTATCCGAGAAACTTGCGTTATAACTGGGTCATTATGCAACCGGAAGGTTGCACCATTCGAGTGAATTTTACTGACTTCATGGTGAGTTTCACTTTTTAAGACTATCTGCTATGAAAGCCGTTGAATTAGTCTTGTTTTTGTTTTTGTTGTTTTTGCTAGTCTTAGAGATGCACTCAGCTTCCCAGTCGAAAGGAGGACTCAGTAAAGACAACCAGCTGAAAGACCGACTCAGCTGATTTATTTCGGAACGTAACGGATTTCTGTAGGGCGTCGAGTAAACTATTTATATGGACGTATGCAATTAATATTTGTGCATTCACTTCTCCGTCTAATTCAAATGTTCACAAGAGATATGAATATAAACGACGTGAAAAAATGTGTTATATTGTCTATTTCCTGTACAAAAATCACCTTACCAGTGACCTCATCTCCAAAGTGTCATTGTTCAGACACCATCAGCTTTGCTGTTCGTCGACAGACAGATAGGCTGATTTATGGAGATCCTATAATTGGGGACATTCATCATGGGAGAGGATAGATGCACCCTACAGCCGTCAGGTGTCATAATCCTCAAAGAGCTAACAAGTTGTCACATTATGATTAGTGTTTTGAGCATTGGATCACCGTAGTCAGAAGACGCTGTCTTTTTCACACAAGAGAGACTCCGAAAATACAGCTAACTGATTTATGCTCTTCTTCTCTAGAAATGTTATCTGTTGAATCATACGACATTCACTAGAGTTCGGTGACTTAGAGAAAGAATTTAGTCACGCGGAGTTCAAACAAGCGCCAGAACCTTCTTTCCAGAAAGTTTGCATTATATGCCCGATTGCACTTTGTCACAGGAATTGAACACTGCCGAAATTTCCCCTAAATAATCTTTATGGCGAAATAAAATGTAGTGAATTTTTATGTGTTATAAAATCCTACAAGAACGCCGTTTGTTCCAAACTAGCACAGTCGTTAAAAATACAAGATTCCCCTTTCAATAGGCAGAACCAGGAGCAAACGCGTTGATGAGCGCCAACTTGTATATTGCAGTTGATATGGTAGCACGAACTTTGATATTTGTAGCATTTGTGAAAACTGCCCACAATTAGCAGGTACTATCCATTTGGTGCCTCCTTAGGGATTTGTGACTGAGGCATAACACAAGCAGATCAAAACAACCATACAGAAGAATGATATAATAGGGTTAATTTATGGCTTGAAGGCTGCCCTTTTCGCCCAAGTCGTTAAATAATTCACAGAAAACTGCGCAATACAAGTGAACTAAATTAGCTACACGGACAAACAGGATCTATGCGAATTGTGTAGTTTTGCTGACCTGTGTACAGATTGATCACCCTATTCACTGGACCTTACTGTGATCTTTGGTTTTCTAGAAACCAAAGGGGACGTTCAACGAAATGCAGCCTTCTATAATATCAAAAATTTACAGACATATGTCAGTTTTCTGTACTCGAACAAAATAGGGTTGGTGATGACGATGATGATGGCAGCTGTATTGATCAACAATGTGTGTATTAGCTAACGTCTATTGCCCACCTGGAGACGCAGTCGTGCATTTGTCAGATCGTGACTCAGATTCTGTGGTTAAGTTAAGAACTAGCACAAGATCGTCCAGTATAGAAGCGTGACTGCTAATAAGCAATGTAATGTGATGACCTATTCGGGTATCCAACAGAGGCAGTTATGGTATGATAGCAGTGCTGCCGAACAAATGACAAGAATTATTCACGAGTGACTACACAAAATCTGCCTGAACGCTGAACGGCAACTTTGTCGAATGTGAACGATTCAGACTATCCCACAGCGCTAAACGATTTCGTCATTTGGTCATCGCCTCTAACACACAGCAGGCAACAAGTGCCATGTAAGACGGCTGTTTAGTCGTGGAATCCTTTTGACCAGTAATATCACGTGTTATTTTGAATGTTCTCCTTGCTCAGATAACCATCATTTAGTTGGCCGGAAGTTGCCTGATCGCTGATTCTAATATACGCCAACTAAGGTAATATCTTGACAGTACTACTTGTTGGTTCATGAAATTCCAGCTGGAAGATCGATACGATTTCGTGAGTGTACACATTATGTATCACTTTGAAACGGGAAGCATGCTGGGCCAATGGAGTGGCAGAGATTTGCCTCCATCAGTCAAGTCCACGAGTAACCGTCTGCTAATAGCCATGAGGACAGATGGTTCAGTTGCACAAAAGGGGTTTGCAGCAAACTATGATACAAGTGAGTTAGTTTTCCATAACTTGTGTACGCCACATGAACCGTTCTGAATTATTCAGATTTTGCGTTTTAATTGTGTAATATACGCAACTAAGGTAATATCTTGACAGTACTACTTGTTGGTTCATGAAATTCCAGCTGGAAGATCGATACGATTTTGTGAGTGTACACAATGTGTATCAACTTTGAAACGGGAAGCATGCTGGGCCAATGGAGTGGCAGAGATTTGCCTCCATCAGTCAAGTCCACGAGTAACCGTCTGCTAATAGCCATGAGGACAGATGGTTCAGTTGCACAAAAGGGGTTTGCAGCAAACTATGATACAAGTGAGTTAGTTTTCCATAACTTGTGTACGCCACATGAACCGTTCTGAATTATTCAGATTTTGCGTTTTAATTGTGTCACACTAGGTACGCGTAACGTTAATTTGGTACGTGCTACACAACGCACTGTTTGGCCAAGCTCTTATGCTGTTCAATATTTGGAAAACTCAATGCAATCATCTGTTGTAAGGAATCGTAAACTGCATTGCTTAATACGCAGTTCTACAGCACGATGCTGAATTTGTCAACAAAACGCCATTGCTCGTAAATACTACGTCGTGTCCTAATCTGGTGTGTGCCTCAATATGAATTTTCCGGTATCACACATGTGTAAGGATATCTTGTGAAACGAACATGCACTGTTTTCAACTTTGGGCCTAATTTTGCGGGAAGCGAATGTGTGCACAACTCAAACTGTATGTTTGATGACAACGTTCAAATATGCCACCAAAGTGGGGAGTTGTACAAGAGGTTACAACATGCATTTTACTGAAATGGTCCTCACATGACGTGTTGACAATGAGAAGAATCACTGGAAGCATAATATCAGACGAAACTGACAGGTTTGCATCGCCCGCTTGTCTTGGTCTATCCAACCATCAGACCGGTTGTATACAAAGTACTTTGACGGAGATTTATTTGCATCTAACGAACGCCACATACCATACATGGCCAGTACGTAGCTATGATACACTTTCTGTCGAGTTCAAAATGGCGAACAGTTTTTTTTCAAATTGCCGGGCTGTATAAAGCACAGCGTTCTTGCATCCATATGACCTACAATGTTGCACTTTTAAACCCACTAATCTGGTAAAATTAAGCTAAGCACATCGGCTATCATTGTTGCGAGCGTTTACTAACACCTCTGAGTTTTACTTGTGTACATTATGATTGATTTGGCTGTGTTCTGACGAAAACTTCAGACTTCCTTTTGGGTTCCCGAGGACTAAACCCAATACATCGCCCTCGTTCACAAAAGTAGGGTTCGTGTCAACACCGATAAATTGCACGTAAACGTACAATAAAACGCGTCGTGTGTTTCTCCGCTTTATCTCTCGGTACAACAAATTGTCGTTTTGAAAGCTGGCATGAACAAAACCGAAACAAATTCCCAGCCTGTTATTCTAACCACCCGAAAACAGAACTGATAAATAGCAATGAGAGACTAGCTGAGACAGACTTGGCTTTCACGTTTGGTTTCCACTGTTCTGCATAAATATTTTTATTTACAATATCGTCAACTTCTTCGTTCTCTCATATCCCCTAGCATGTCGAGAGAGTGGTAAGCCCAGTCCAGTGATCATTTGTTTGTACTCAGCCTTTAGTATTTTCGCTTGATACTGTGCTGAGCTAATGGAAGTATTGCTCGTGAATAAAATGCTGTACTTACGGTTCAGAGTACTGTGCTGGAATTGGTGGATCTACTGTCAACTAGACACTTTGGCAGTGTAAAAGATCATATTCACAACGTTGTGATCTAACATCAAAAGCCGAACATACACCATCGGGGCGTTTTTCTTATACGGGCAAACATTGTAAAGTCTTCCAAGAGAAAAAACACTTTCGGGTTTCTAGGAATTGCGTGGTAAATGGCCAAGTACCATGCTAACTGTCATATCTGCTGATTTGTCAATCTGTGGTATCTGCTGTCGACCCAATTCAGTGCCAAAAGCCGGAAAAAGGCTCATAGAAGGGAACACAACAGTTATATTCCGAACATGCGAGTGCAAGAGCGTGAGTGCTTACGGGTGCGAGAGCAAACGTTACAACGGCCCCATGCTATTTAAAGGGGAATTCCTGACATTGATCCGGGCTGTCTGATAGGCGTAAGTAAACACCTGTCAAAATCGATCGCGCCTCTATGAAATGTATGGACGCTGATCACATTCGGCCGTGCTCCTGTGGCGTGCATGAACACTCATCAGCTTTTGCTGAATTGATTGAATGATTGACAGGCCTGGATGCTTGTCGGCCTTCTTGTTGAGATTTTGGCGGACTAGTAGGTTCTGGACGTTCTGGAGTTACTTTCAGGAGTCTGACCTTCCGGATACAACCCCTTACCAAATGACCCAAGTGGCGCATCTGCTTCCAATGCTGGTTTGAACTGTTTTTATTGGATTTCAACCTGATGGATGGGCAAACTTGCGCCAGGTCGCTGGGCAGCTTCAGAGCCGTAAGTAGATTACGTTCGTTTTAGTATATCCGTAAATACAATCTAAAATAGCCTGAGAACTCTCCGTTTTTTTCCTAGGGTTACAGAGGAATTTCAGCAAAAAGTAAATGAAAGTGTCCACGAATTGCGAGAATTGCGGTTGTATATAACGCAGCGAACTGCAAACAATAAATGGTGCAACATCCCACACTTGGTCATGGATTCTGGTAGCCAGATTCTTCATACCCATAAGACTTGGTTTTGTTTTGACCAAAAACTCAATCATTCATTTGAGGATACTGGTGGTCTTTGCCTAGAAAAGTCCTTCGTGGAGAATTCATGTTGGATTCAAAAAGATTGAAGATCATCGTTAATAACTCTTAGATTGCGTACGTTCAAATTGCAAATTTGTTCATATTCACACCACTCTTGTTTGAACAGTCGTCCTCCTGTTCTGCGGTAGCCATTTTGGTGTGTTCACAGCAAACGAGGTATGTACTGGGCTCTGGTTTCGCCCTTATTAGAGCTCACCAACAGTGCATATCCAAAGGCCGTGCTAGGATTTAAACTCCGAATATCTGATATGCAAGGCGAGCGCGCGAACACTACCCCAGGGACGCACTTTGGACGACTGAACAGGCGAACGTGTTCACGCTTGAGTGATGTGTTTGCACAAAGAATCCTTATTACAAAATAGGATAATCAGTAGATGCGTTCGCACACAACTAACGTCAAGTCGATTCAATCAGAAAGGCCTGCTCCACAGCAAATTGCAAAAGCAATCGAAAATTGCCATCCACTTGGATGCCTCAACAATGGTCTTGTGATTGTTTTACTGATCTTTTCATGCATTAGACATAAAGTCACTCAAACGGGATGCCTACACAGAGTCTCGCAAGAGTTCATGAAAATTTCGATAAAGATGAAACACTGATAAACGCGAACAAGGGCGCTCAGAAGTAAATTACCCAGCGAACTACAAAGATGCATCTATGCGTTTGCATCAGTCGGTATGAAAAACAATTGAATAATTGACTTGAAATTAGCTCAATTCGGAAACATCCGTTGTTTTCTAAGAAATCCGATTTATATTATAGTGGGATGGTAGAAATACTTCCTTCATATGGGCTGATTAATAAACACCTCGTCTTCTTTACTCAGTAACTCAAATTTTGCTTTGCGTCAACATTGAAATAGGGTTGACAAAGTTAACAAATTTTACAAAAAAGAACTCACGCTGCTATTGTAAAACAATTTAATTTGAACCGTATTTACGCTTGTGGCGATTCGAGATGGCCATTGTCTGATTTTACCCGTTATTTTTTTCAGGAAACATGACGTGCACAATTAAGTATGACCACCCAGCGTTGACAATCACGTCACCTGGGTTTCCTTTTGGTTATCCAGATAAACTGAACATGACGTGGCACATTTCGCAACCGGAAGGATGCACCATTCATGTGCAGTTTGAGATTTTCAAGGTGCGCCCAATATAAAAAACTCTGTTAGCAAATTAGATTCGCTCAAGTCTGTTCCAACAAGCACATCAGCATTCGAAGTAAGCCACAAAAGGACAAACGTTATTTACAAAATTCATGCCTCTCAGATTTTTGTTTCCTATCCTAAGTAAAAGTTGTAAGCAGAAAATACACGACGGTAGCAGATTTTGTGTGAAAAACAGGGGATGTTAGAGCGGAGACCCTCGGGCATATTTGGCTCAGACGATACACGAGCGGTTTCCTTAGGTCATTTTTACAGTTGGTATGTTGTATTGAAAGGCGTTATCTGCCGACCTCACAAAAAACTCGGTGTTCCTCTATAGCATAATTCCGTACAGTACTGACAGATTTCGCACACACATTGCGCTAAAAAAGAGTGAAGTCCATCGTGAGTTGTAGGAGAAGCTGAAAAAGGAAACTATGACTAATGCATGAACTAATGCTATGAACAAAAGTACCTATCCAGCAAAACCCCAAAATCGCAACCGAAAAATCTACCCAGTGGGTTTCAAGCGTGTGCCACGCTACCTGACTGGGAAGTCCTAACTGGCAGGTCAACCGATCGTCACAACCAGGACAGTTACTGGGTCGTCGTTCGATGAGTCGGGCACACCAAGTGCATCGCTCAAGTTAACATGTTCACCTGTTCAGACGTGGTGATTCAGATGCGTCCAACGTGCGTTGGTGGAGTAGTGGTTACACGCTCGCCTCGTATGTCAGATGTCCGGGGTTCAAATCTCGGCACTGCCATTGGATATGCACTGATGATGAGCCCTAATAGGTGCGAAACTCGAGTCCAGTGCTTCCCTTTGGTGTGGACTCACCGGAATAATTACGCTAGAACAGGAATACGGCCGTTCAAACGAGAGTGGTGTGGCTATGAACAAAAATACTTATCCCGCAAAACCCCAGAATGGTAATGCATAAAAGTTGGAATTCACGTGGTTTTGTCCGCCAAATAGTAGAACTTTGGCACATGACTCGAGCCAAACAAGTATTGTTGTCATGAGGCCATTGTTCTTCAGGTAAGTTTATAATTTATTCGTTATAAATATTTTGAAAAACTGAAAAATATAGGGGAATTTGAATAGCACAATCACACACCCAAATATTGGACAAAACGCAAATGTTTGAAAGACGATGGTGCTTTTATAATCATTATTTAATATGATACGTAGCGAACAACATGAATGTAGATGCAAATACGGTGAAACGAAACAGTGAAATTTGTTGACTTTCGACACACTGGCATTGTTGCTGCAGGCCAGCTTACTTAGCCTCGTACATTACTAAATCATTATTACCATCTCTCAAATTGCATGAACAAAGACGCATGATAGCGGGCACAATTTTAGTCCCAGTCGCATCTTAGTTTGTTTCACCTCAACGCGCCTCAAGCACGCAAGAGCTGTGGTTTAAATCACCGGACTAACTGACGTCCTCTAGTTTCTTTATTAAGCAAAATTCTTCCTAGTGATGTGTATATTCCCGGGAGTTTATACTGATCAGTTGATCCATAGTTTCTGCATAGTCACCTCGGCATTGTCGTTTGCTACTACTGCAAAGGATATTGACAACTTTGTGTTTCTATACTACTTATCCAATTTAGCTTGAGCGGCTTCGTGATTTTTTGTTCGTGTACGATGGACAACATAAATCGGATGCACTTCTTGGCAAATGGACTGGAGATCAATTGCCATCGCCTATTGTATCAACCTGCAATAATTTGAGAATTGACATGATCACCGATGGCGCACTTCAACGCCATGGGTTTGCAGCGAAATACCACTCAAGTGAGTTCAAACATTAATGACAAAGTATCATGCAGCCCTCGGTAGCAGCCTGCTTTCATACATAAATGTTCAGCCTGCATGAACAAGTTATCAATTTTTTCCAAGTTGGTGTGCACAAAAATAGGGACAAACTGGTAAAATTGTAGTAAAATATGATTTTTGTAAAGACGACGAGGACATCATGGGTAACATGCCAACTCCAACTGTTCTGGGTACGCATATTCTCCCTTTATTTCAACACAAAGCGATATGACTCGCCACAGTCAGAAGACGATAGTATTTCCCAGCGCACAAATGTTCACAGATGAATGCATGCTCTACAGAGATGCATAATGAACTTCGAAATGACAACCCACAATGCGCTGAAGTCAAACTATTCTCTAATACCGTCCGGTTAAGGCATCATTGCTATATCATATTGGTATATTTGGCACAACTTTCTGCGTAATATCAAGAGTTGAAACAACCAGAAAAGGCGCCAGGATTACCTGACGATGGACTATGTTGTTTTTTCTTCGTGGGCAACTGTTTTACATGTGGGAGGTTGCTGTTCTGATTTAACAAGTGCTGGTGAGATACGTCTCCCCGAGTTTTCTTCAGAGGCTTCGAAAAGAAAACGCAGTTGTTTTTAAAACCTGATGACGGATTCTATATCGATTAGTAAATGCATTTCAGTCAAAACTGTTTACTAATCATATAACGGCGATATGGTTCAAGTGGTAAGAGCGTAATTTACTAACCGGAAGGTCCGTGGTTCGGACCCGGCCTCTGCTTCACGACTTCATCTGTCTAGGCTTGAACAAGCTGACAATATCCCGGGGTTCGTTTGGACGGCATGGCAGCTAGGCACCTTTAGGGTGTTACAGATAAACAATTAACACTGGTTACTGCGTCGTTGAAGGCTGTCATTTTCGATACGAATTTTACTCTGCTAATTTGCCAGCAATTTATCCAAAGCAAAATGTTTTCACCCGGGAATGATTATACATAGATACGAGTTAACAAACGTGAATAAAGTTACATAGAAAGTGTACACTGCAATCACAAGACCCCGATATGGACACCGATTCTCCAAGATATGCATAAAATTGCGCAAAGTTTGCATAGATAGCTATCCATAGATGTAGTGTTGCCTTATTACCTAACCTTTGAAGCTGTTCGTTCATGATGTATCTGCGCACAGTAGTCTAATAGTATAAGACACGGAGTAGAAGGGACGTGGCCTGACGTTTTCAATTCTAATAACAGTAGCATGGAATGTGATGCGCAAAGCCACGCAAAGCGACATTTCATCTCTTCATTGCGCCATTCCATGGTATTACCTGCGTCAAATTGCCGACTTTAATTCCGTTATAGACTGTCAACCTGGTGGTAAGTCACGGGATGTTGAAACATTTAAACTTACAAACAGCCAGGGTAGCAGCTACTGGCATTATTTGAGCAAAATTTGTGAAATGGTTTGCCAGTCTCAAAATCTTCATTTTGGAAAAACATGCACAGTTTCGGTACCCTATTTCGATGGTGAGACAAAAGTTTGATCTGAACTCGTGTGTTGGAATTAAGTTAGCGTAAATGGATTAACTTGAGGACACTCGTTTTCTGTACGTATAAAAAACCCTCAGTGAATGAACATTACATGGGTCACCTCGGGTTTCAGATGGAACGATATTTCAAATATGATGGTGTGCACTCATAGTGATTTTTACATATTTAAACGTTTATGACGTTGCCGGAGAGTGTTTGAAACAATGCCAGCAGTGTTTCGACTATCCTCGAAAAGAGGACTAAGTACGGCATTCATGTAACAATCAGCAAAGAAGATGATGCTACCAGATTTATGGAAAATTCAAGCTGTTGCTCATAATATAATGATTCAAATAACATTTGATTATTTTAATCGGTGTATAAAATGCATAAAAGTCGGTGATATGGGAGGTCATTTTCACTTTGTGTGTGTAAAATTTTGCAGTCTGTCGCATAAGTGAAGGAACGAGGACAAGCATCTGCACCACAAGTTTTTCAAACCCAACAAAGAGCATCGCTTCACCAAATTACCCACAGAAATATGATGCCTACCTGAGCTACACGTGGATCATTTCCCGACCTCAAGATTGTGTCGTTCGGTTGCAGTTTGAAGACTTTGAAGTAGGTAAAATAGTTTTGATTTTTTTGTGTTGTGTCGTTGCGATTGCTTGAGTTGCGTTTCGGCAAGCCACTTTCAGCGAAAGGGTAGTCGTGATACCCGGGATCTTAATAGACTGATTAAATAACGCACTGCATTCCACAGAATGCGAGGTTGCGGCAAGAATACTTCGTGAATTTTAAGAATGCGCTGCTTCATAGTGTATGGTATATGTATAAGCCAGCAAGTAATACGTACTCTGAAAAATTGGAATGTATACCACATTTTGGAACATTGGGAATCCATAATGTCCTAAAAATTTTATGTTGAATTCCATCGACTTTTGACTAGACCACACTTTAGTCTCTGCAAAAGAAACTCTGAGCACAACCCATGAATGGGGCGAGGCCTAGAATATGATGTGAATCCTTCTGCGCAGCTGGAAAACCTTACCATTCAGTTCCACCCATTTGACTTCAAAAGCACAACTCATTAGCTGATTGGTGTTGGAGATGAAACGATTCCTGTGGTACTTCATGCGCTTTCGGAATTGTTAGCAGACAATCAGAAGGAAGAGAAATTACATTGCAGTGTGACTGCGTAATTTGAACTCTCACTGCGCCCCAGTCTCTCTAGTGCACTTAATCTACATGGTTTCAATCGTGTGCTCCGTGCACGCCTTATTTTCAACGTTTCATTGTTATAAATGGCAACAGCACCCAGAGGTGGTGAAAACCTTTTGCGTAAATAATAAATAAGTGGAATCGCTCTATGCAATGTACTACTCATAAGGTCGCTGAATATCTGTCGACAGCACACGACCGGTTCCGCCCATTTTGGGGATCGCTCTATCAATGTACTACTCATAAGGTCGCTGAATATCTGTCGACAGCACACGACCGGTTCCGCCCATTTTGGGGCTCATCAGGTAGGCGTAGTTCACGGGTTCCGTCAAACTTATGTTCTACTTGAAAAAATTGCACGAAATTACCGAATATAAACACATTTGAAACTAATTTGGTTTTTGCGAGAGACTCACCTGGAACCCAGCTGGATCTCTCGCTTGTGATGTTCTCAGGCAACTGAATGTGCTGCACCAGGCCGCCTCATACATGAGAGATTCAGCTGGGTTCCAGATGAGTCTCTCGAAAAAACCAACTTATTTTGCAAATGAGTGTATATTCGCTTGGATCGCTCTACCATAGAAAGTTGATCTCTCCTGGCGAGAATATCATCTAACGACAAAAAACAGTGCATGATGCTTGAAGTTTCGCGGACATGTGCGCCGTCGAAGGCAACAGCGATTGTCTTCGAAGGTCAATTCATATTGAGTGAAATGAGGCCACATTCTATTGTTGTGCGGTGATTTTTTAACGGGGAATCATTTTTGGGGAACGGGTTCAAAAGGTCTTTCACGTGCACTTTCTCTACCTGTTTGTTTTACCACACAGTTTCCCTCAAATAATAGAACCAGATTGAGAATACCGTTTTACCTTTTACCCATGGATATATTTTGAATGCGTTTCCTACCTACTAGAGCGTCTCAGTAGCTTTACAGTAGGCATTTTGCAGCCGACATTAATCGCTTCCAAAACTGGTGAAGTGAACATTACGCATCTCGCGAATCTCGACCATAGGCGCTGGTGTCTGTGTTGCTAAGAGATCTGATTATCGTGAAGCATGGCAAAACAAACAAAGCAATTATAACTTGGATACGAAAGTACGTTCCATTGTGCTGCTTCTTTCACGTGTGCTGCCACACGAAAATAAAAAATGGAAGCAACCGAAAATATGTGATCAACCTGCAAACAGGTCACAAAATGCATGCTTGGGAAAATTTGCAAGCCGGCTTGCTCTTCCCGATAGAGACCGTAACTTGGAGTCACTTGCGACAAATGTTGCTTTCCATTATTTCAGCTTGAATCAGATAATGATTTTGTTCACGTGTACGACGGACCCGCAAGCCGTGAGAACCTGTTGGACACGTGGACTGGAAAACGCTTACCGCCGACACGAATTTCGACAGGCAACAAACTGACAGTCGTAATGCGGACAGATAGGTCGGTGGAATTTCGAGGGTTTTACGCAACCTACGACACTCGTAAGCCTTATACCGGTTTTTAATATCACATCGTCAGCTAGACTTTTATCAACCATTCTTCGGAAAATATTGTTTGTTGAATGTCAGTCCTACTTCATTTTTCGAAGTCTGCTCATCACTGTCAATTAACACTATCTATCACAATTTCAGATGTTTAATGACGGAATGGGGTGTAAATGCAACCGACGAAAAATGTGAAACCATAATTACTTCGAACAATATACCCGCACGGTTTATCACTGATCAGAAATACCCACAATCACATTGCGCATAGACACTCAAGCTTGCTTCTCCTATGGCAGTATGCCTTTGGTGTCAAAGAGCGAAAGCATCACACTAGAATCCCACGCATAGTGGGGCTCATCTAGCGTGCTTAGAGGTGAAGTCGGGCACTTGACGCCAAGGGAAAAGCGCACAACCGATAAGCCTGATTAATCACACCCAAACAGGCGAAAGCCTCCTTGATCAAGCAATCTGACTATATTGCCAGACATCACAAGCGGCGACGCGATGAGTGGGTCTGCGTGTATGCCCTGCCAACTGAGTGAACTGGTCTATCAAGATTTTTTGCCGGCTGATGCCAGAGACGTTCAAAATCTGGACAATTCCTGCTGTTGTTTGTAACTTTGCCACGGTTCTGCAGAAAACACGCCTCTAGGGATTTCAATAGAGACCGGTGATTGTAAGAATTTTAGCTTGATTATTAGGATTAGAATTGGTGATCCAAGCAGTTGAGCAAATATTTATACTAAATAATCTAATGTTCATTTGCGGTAATACGTTGCGGATGAATACCGTGTTTAACGCATATTTCATTTTGGTGCCGTCGTTTTTCTTCTACTTGTCGTGTTTATCTATCAAGTTCTGGTTAAAGAATACACCCAAAAGCTTTTAAACTGGCTTTATTTACCAGAACAGAACCACAAGTTCCAAATTAATACATCCCATGATTTGGCCAATCGTAAAATCGGGTATTAATCGGCGACCGAACTGCAAGATGCAGCGACTTCTCAACAATTTAAGTTTGCTATACCATGCACGCAAACTTTACCGACAACAGCAGAGGACAGATATTCGCGAATTTACACCCATTTGCAAATGTATTTGGTTTTTCGGGAGACTCACCTGGAACCCAGCAGAATCTCTCGCTTTTGATGTTCTCAGGCAACTGAATGTGCTGCACCAGGCCCCCTCATCTTTCATTCCCTACGATGTTCGAGATACCGCAATACATGTACATCTTTGTAGTGCACTACTCATGAGGTTCCTTAAAATCCGTTGAGGGACCACCGACATCAAATGAGGACGGGATTTCCTACAGCGATTTTTGTCATATTCCAGTACATAAGTACAAATACGCTTTATTTATTCGTGTTTCATGTGGCAACACAAAACCTTGTGAGAGATATTTTCGGAAAGGTAAACGGATATTCGTACCTTTCTTTAGGTGGAAGATATCTTCGGCCGATAAGCAACAGTTCGGGACTCTATCCGGAATGAATGAAAGTTGATTGCAATGTACCGAGGAATTCTGAAACAGCATCACTGATGACTATCAAATAAGCAAAGCAACTTTGTACAAGTATTCTGTTAATTAAGGATTACATTTTTTATAACAACGATTTCAACGAAACGGCGCTTTCGGATGGCCAACCTCTTGCCACAAAACTGCTCAGGCCTAATTTGTGTAAAACCGAACGAGGACCCTGTTTGTTGTACTTTTTTTCCAACCTGTTTATATATCTAAGCATGTATTCCGCATTTTATTGCAGTGTGTGGGAGTGAAATACCAAGTGCGCCAAGTGTGCCCTTTCTTATAAGCAGGTGTTCTAGTTTGAAATCGTCAGCAAATATAAATATTGCCGGAGGAGTTGAACCCTTCAATCAACTTTGAAATGACACTCAAAACATCCATGAGAGAGCAGTGTATAGCGGGTCAAGGTACGAAAGCAAATGTCTGGTAAACATAACAGTTTCAACTTCTGATCCAGAAATGACCAAAAATTCCGCCCGCTAGCTTTGTGAAACGTTTGACGTGGCATGATGTTTAAATCAAAAACAAAAATTGTTCTTCTGCAATTGTTTGAAAGTAATTCTGTTAGCAGTGTGCTCTGTTCGGCTGCAAGTAATTTACTTTGTTCATTTGTTGCATACATTCGCGGTCCATTCACCGCTATTTCAAGCGAACTACTATGTGCTGAATCTAATCCGAAGGAGAAAGCACAATACCATTTCGGCAACCTCATTGTGAAGCAATTGAGAGAAGCTTCACATGGCGCATTCGGGAAGCGACCACCTGAGCTAGAAAGCATTTAAATGGGATGTTACAATCTATTACTCATGCCCCTTGGGTGTAGTTTCAGCGGAGTAAGCAAGGCAGTTCCAAGGTGGATGATTTACAGGACTCAGAGTATAATATACACTTGGGAAATCACAAATGGCTGAAAGTTAATTACTAAGTGTTGCAACATCGTAACTTAATTGATTTTCGTTGAAAACTGATCCAATTAATTCAAGTCGGCCACATTACACAAGGTTGCAAGGAAAACACATGTGTTGCCAAACCGCTAGGCTAGTGCTTCTCATGAAAGAATGTAGATCAAAAAGCACACGCTCGTGAGAGTCATCACCAAACATATAGAGGGTTAAACAATCACAGCATAAACAGAAGAAATGGTGAAGTACAAACAGTTATACCGGGGAATAAATAGGATTG